GCACGAGCTCGAGATGGTGAAGGAGCTGGGCATGAACACCGCGCTGCACATCATGGCGCGCAACCACGGCTTCAGCGAGGACACGGTACGGGAGCTGTACATGCGAACGCGCTCGCTCGAGGTCACGGACAACATCCTACGCGAGATGCGCGAGGTCGCGAACGAGCGTGCGAGCGAGGCGTTGTCTGTGCTCCTCTCCACCACTGAGGACGCGGCTCAAGATGAGCCTGGTGCAGATGAGGAGGTGGAGGATCGCACAGGCGAGGAGGCGGAGGTCGAGCAGGAGCTCACCCAACCGCAGGGAACGAATTGGCTCCGAGATGGGGCAAGCTTCGACCTCGCGGACGAGGCGCCGCTTGCTGAGAGCAGCCGCATTGACGCGTCTCATCTCCCGGGAAACAACTCCAGGTCTGACCCGCGTAAGCGGCAGTTCCGCATTCAGCGTCTTCCGGGCGAGCGAGACTCTAGCGTCGACACCGGCTACTCCCCGCCGAAGCGCACGAAGGCCGCTGAGTACTTGAAGCGCGAGCGGGAGAGTATCGGGCGGCCGCAGAAAGATTCTGGAGGCGTGGAGGCGCAGGCGATGGAGGCGGATGCGTCCGGCGCGTCGGCTTCGAGAACGAGTAGGCAAGGCGACGTCGCGTTCGGACAGCTTGTACGTATGGACAGCGATGAGTGGAGTCGACTGGAAGAGAAGCATGGGAAGGGAGCTGCGAAGGTGCTTGCCGGCAAAGCCCTGGCCAAACTCCTTGGACGATGATTTCTCGATACACTACTACTCATGTAGTATTGCTGTAATGTATGTCTTGTAGAGTACTCTGTCGCATTGCTATCTAAAACTTATGAAGGGCTCTTTGCTTTGACTACTCGTGGATGCTCAGGCCCCTCAGGACGGAAGCTTGGGCGGGATGCACATTCCGGAAATGTTGTCCCTTCTATGTGCGTGACAACATGCTAAGGCAGCCTCACTAAGAGCACCTTAACATCACATCTTCACCTGAGCGGAAGGACCACTGCAGAATGTATCAAGGTTCTCGACTATCACTCATCCTAGATTGCGCCGTGCTGGCGAGACAATGCTCATGCATTTCAGTAGTGGACGACGACTCAGTACAGCAAATGCGAGGTCACTCATTAGTACTCGACAGTGAAACCCTTTGTGAAAGGAGTCTTCAGCATCACGTCCAGAACACCCTTGTCAGAGTCGTACGAAAGGGCGCTCTTTCCAACCGCCTTCCCGTTGAACTTCACAGTACGCGGTGCGCTGTTCACGTCCAAGAACCTCACGCGGGCGACGTCCACACCCGTCGGGTGACCGAAGGTCCCTTTGACAGTGAGTCTCTTGTCCTTGAACGCGAAGGATACACTCGTCTTGGTCTTCGGGGTGATAGAGACGCCGTCGTCGAGGTAGAGCGAGCCCGAGGCGGTCCCATCCAGAGCAGGCGCAACGACAAGCTCGAAGTCGTTCTTGCGCAGCTCCGTCGTGGTCATCGCGCTCTTCTGGCGGAGGGGCAGAACGGCGCCGCCCTTGATCGCGACCGGAATCGACGTGAAGTTGACGTTCGAGAGGTGGACTACGCCGCCGCCCTTGACGTACGTCCGCGAGAGGTCGTGGAAGTCGTAGAACGCCTCGTCGGGGTAGTACACGTCCACGCTCGTCGCGTTCTCCTCGAGCACGGGGGAGACGAGGATCGAGTCGCCGTAGAAGAACTGCGTGTCGATCCCGAACGTGTTCGCGTCCTTCGGGAACTTGTACCAGAGCGGGTTGAGCACGGGCGTGCCGTCCGTGTGCGCATGGTGGAAGGCGGTGTAGATGTAGTCGAGGAGGCGGTAGCGGATGTCGAGCGCGTTGCGCGCGGCCTGCGCGACGGTCGGCCAGCGGTAGAACTCCTGGCTGATAGACGTATCTGCGTTATGCTGCGCATTATCGGTGGATATCAGTACGGGCGAGCGGGCGGGCGGGCTGGCAAAGAAAGATTGGACCTACGTTGCGCATGAACGGATAGAACGCGCCCACCATCGCCCAGCGCGCGCAAAGCGTCTCCGTCGTGTTCTCCGCTGCCGCAGCAGTCAGGGCCCCATCCCGCCTCCCTGAACGAGCTGGATACACGCACCGTATCCGCAGATGTCAACACCGACCATCGGAACGTGGTACACGCCCGCCATTCCGAGAATGCCGGAGAGGGACTGCCGGAGATGGTCCCACTGACTGAAGTTGTCGCCGAGCCACTTGCCGACGCGCGTCCCTGCGCCTGCGAACGTGGAGCGCGTGATAACGAGGGTGCGCTGCCCTGGGCGGCGTGCCAGCATCGCGTTGTGCGTTGCCGTCGACATCATCGTGCCGTACAGGTTGTGCGTGTCGTACTCGATCAGGCCGTTGGCGTGGATGGCATCCGTCTTGGGACTGTTGTCAGCACCTGGGGCAGGGAAACGGTACTGACTAAGATCACTCACGTAAGCCGTTCTGTCTGACAGTGCCCCGCTGCCCGCGGCGTTTGCGATCGCATACGGGGGGTTCTGCACGTCGTCGTGGCTGTGGTCGACACGCTTCTGGAGTTGCGAGTCGCCAAAGATCGGGGCGTCGGGATCGGGAGGGAGGGTGGACCGTGCAGGCGGCAGATCTTGCTCTCTCGCCTGCTCGAAGGGGTCCGTGCATGGATAGTTGCAGAACTGCGGACAACGATGAGATAACGCGCGTATGCTGGGTTAAGTGGACCTACACTAGAGGGCTCGTTCATGTCGATCCATGCGCCGTCAATGTCCAGACCAGCGTCAGGGCTATAGAAGAGCTTGAACTCATTGTTCCAGTAGCTGTCGATGGTGGTATGAGTAATGTGCGATGTCAGATGGGTGGAAGCACGTACTCTTGTGTCTTCTTGTTGAACCAGTCTGGAATAGGGATTCAGCGATTTGCTCTATGGCTCTGCCTTAGAATACACGGCTTACCAGGGAAGACTGTTACGCCTGTGTCCAAGGAAGTAAGCAACCACGTCATAAATACTCTGCATGCAACTCACCGGGCCAAACTGCACCAAGGAACGGACTGCTGCCGTTCGCCGCTTTCAGCCAGATGTCTGCAGCAGTACCGCGATCGAAAGGGCCATAGCCCTCACCGGGCAAATACGCGACGGCAGGATCCGTCATCAACACTGTCGTGGCTCAGCTGGTTGTCACGCCTGACGGATTGACCGGACACACCAAAGCGTTGGTCATGGGAGTGTAGATAGTCTACAATCTCGCGCATCCTGTTGAGAGGGAAGTAGTCCGGGTCGACAGTGAAGATGCGACGTTTGTACATATAGTCTGCACAATACGGAGATAAGCATTATATCAGCTTGAGGATGACGAGACGCATACCGATGTCGGTCCACATTGTTTCCAGCGGGATGTTGGCGGCGGAGTAGTTCGTGATGACGTTGGCGACATCGATGTAGTCTGTAGAGAGGTCGTCAGTGGCTTCCTTCGCCGAACGCCACAGCACTCGTACTTTGGTATCCGAATCGGCACTGATGCAGCCCGAACGACCAGTACGGCACCTCCGCGGGTAAACCGACGACTTCCGCATATTGCCGCGCTGCCTCGGTCGGGTCGGTCTCGCTACCTGCGAGGAAGTAGAAGTCCAGCACTCCTCCAATGATGTTGTACTCCAGCGTCGTGCCGGCGCCCTCGGAGTCATCGATCTTGATATCCATGCCATTCGAGTTCGCGAGGAAGACGCCGTGCGTGCCGGTCGTCCTGTGCTCGAAGTAGATCGGGTGGTTCCCGTATAAGTTCGAGCCCTGCGGCACCCCGTACGCGTCGCGCGACCACAGCGTCCGCGTATAGTTGTGCGTCGGGAGGCGGAAGGTGTCGGTGTGCTCCCCCAGACCGTAGATGTTTGCTTTCGCAGGGAGGTTCGTCTTCACGCGCAGATACTGTGGCTCGAAGATGATGGGATGAGACGCGGTCGAGAAGAGGACCTCGTTGGTCGATGCACGGAGGATCGAGAACGAGAACGGAGAGGCCGTATAGTTGAACTTGATGGCCGCCGTGTGTGGGGACACAAGGAGGTCCGCGTGAGGCCGTGGCAGAACGGACTCGGGCACCTCGTAGCGCGCCTCCGTCGGGTCCGTGATCTTGACGTGGATCCGGTTTTCTGCAGTACTACAGTTCAGTACGCATTCGGATCAAGGACCCAGGAGACCTACTGGTTTCGTATGTGACTTCGAGCTTGAGCTTGTTGATATCATCGCCGAAAACATTGCAAGCCTTTCCGGCAAGCACGAGGTCTGCAGTGATTTTCGACCCATACGCGAACACGTTTTTTGCCTTGTAGCCAGGACAGGCGTCGAGGACTGCAGGGTCTGTCACCGTCGCACTGGCGAGCAGCGCCAATTGGCCAAGTACCGCGAGGTTGAACACAGCGCGGAGGTACATGGCCACGAAGGTACACGTTCGTACGAGGAATGGTGGACCTCGCCACCGTCGTTTATAAGGCCTTCCAGCGTCCCTGAGGTCGGGCGTCGCGGTGCGCCTGTTGGCTTCTCTTCGTCGCGGTCCTGGTTCGCTCCGGGGCTCACTTGACCGAGGGTGACGCTCATGTGATGCAGGCGAGCACGCTGGTCCATGATGGCCGCCAGAGAGGCACACCTCGAGAATGATGACGGCCACGGCGAGTAGCGCCTGGACCCAGCTCATTACGCCGATCCATGCGAGTCTGTATCAGTCTGACCTGTGCGCATCGACTGAAGTGAAACTGCAGCTGTTTCAGCTTCACCGGCGACCGATGCGTGGATTCAGACAATCCATGGCGTCGCTGGCCTTAGTAAGTGGTGGAGACCGCTAGAAAGAATAGTCGCGCCCTGTTCGTGGATATTTGGTCGAAATCCGATGCTGGATGGAAGACGAGTGATCGTCGTACTTGGAAGGCAGCCTGAGCCACCATGAGCGGGCTGGCAGTCCGCCGCACGATGAACTCGAGGACCAACTCAATATATACTTACGTTATCTAAAGGTCTTGCGGTGCTATAGTGTAGTGGTTATCACTCGGGATTTTGAAAGGAAGTTCCCGAAACCCAGGTTCGAACCCTGGTAGCACCTGAAACTCCCGCATTTTTGGTATTTATTGACATCCGGACTTTGCGACATGACCCGCGTCCTCCACCATACGCCTCGTAGGAAAGCCGACAACAGCACTTCAGATCTCAGGGCTTGAGCGTTCACTTGTTCTCGAGTGTATCCCAGGATTATCCACCACTCATCCCACACGCTGACGACCTCAATACTCACCTCCGCATACAGTATACCTTTCGGGTCTGACTATCGGAGAGATCAACCCACTGCTCCTTTTCGCAGATTCCGCACGTATGAAAGCCGATTTCGAGCGATGGCTCGCGCAGGAGGTGTCGTGGACGGTGGGATGCTGACTCGTTACTTGACTTTGCCAAGTACCTCTAAGGCTCTTTCAGGCTGAAGATGCTCGAGCGGATATTCATCCGGATTCCGCATCATCGACCTGCCGCAAACATCCAGGCGGGCTAGTACTTTCTGGCGACTGCGTCAATTGTTACAGACTGACAAGGCGCTCTCGTCTTTAACCGCGATAGGCTCGGAGTCACGAACTTGCGAGAATCGGCTCTAGCATGAGCTAGAGCTTCGCCTTAGAGATTGTCTCGCAGACTCGAGGCTCTTGACCTCTCGCGATTCACTCGCTGTCAAGAAGGAGGATTACAAGGCTATGCGCACTCATGTCTCCATAGCGCAGGGCCTCTCGTGGTCCGGCTCGACTCGATGACAAACCGTGAGGCACAGCGGCCGTAAATATTGTCAAACCACAGTGGGTTTGTGGGGGTGAGTCAATGTCATACAGTAGCTGTCGCGTTAATACCGCCCATGCTCAACGTAGAAGGTCTTATCTCCGGACACAGCTTTCCGCCTGGCCTCTCCGGATAGTAAGCTCACTTTCAGGCTCCTTGTCCGCAAAGTGACAGATGCCAGGCACGCCCATAGGCCGGATGCGGTGTATGACTTTCCCGGCGGTTCGGTCATATCAGACTCATAAGGCCTGCACGTACGTCTCTCCTCTAGTTCATTCCCGCCTCCCATCGAACGCGCTACGGACAGCAGAGAGCTCAAATCTATGCACAGCACGCTCAGCATCTCATCGCACAAGAAGACTTCCTCCGCCCTGCGGTCTGACGAGCCTCTGGAGCCTCGGCTCGGGGACACACTCCTCTTCTGCCGGGATCCGTTGCAGCGGCACAGGACCCGCATCCTTTCGGCGCATACTCGTGCCCTCTACTACACCCTTTTCACCGAAGGACGTGGTGGCCGATCTTATCTCTTTTGAGGCATAGTTGACAGAATGGACACTCCAGAAGCAGTCCTCGCCGTCGTGTCAATGACTGGCAAACACGGACTGTCGACCATATCCATGGTCTTCCCTCGCGCTCGTGCGGACATCTTATCCGAATCCGAGAGCGTGCAGGAGGGGAAGCCATTGCGCCCTTCTTCGATAGATAGCGAATCCACTTCGTACGATGCGGCTCACCTCGCAAAGAAGCCAGATGGAGATGACGAGGAAGCATACGATGAACGCAAGTCGAAGACCTCGCTCACGGCATACCTGTCAAATGACCTTGAGTCGATGATGATCACCTACGGGGACGCTGCGCAAACGTGCTTGAAGAGATGCATTAGTTGGGAGAAGCTGGCAGTCGTGCGTGACCTTCTTTGCGTATGATCTTCTCGTACTGACCGGCGTTGCGGAGCGTCACACTGACGATGATGGAGCGGAGATACGAACTCTGTCTGGATCGCGCACAGGAGCCCGCGGTACGTCTAACCCAGAGGTGCATCCGATCGAGCCCCTCAGGTCATCGGCTCGTCCACTTCCTAGATCTTCGTCGTAGATGGAGGAAAGCGAAGCCAGGTCGTATGGTCCAGTACCGCCGCAGTACGGAAAGGAGACGGCGGACAGCTTCACACGATCTTCCCAGCCTTGTTGACGTTTTACCCCGAGGTACGGAACTTCGTGGACGCGGTCATCCTGGCCCTCGTGCCATGGCAGATGAAGATAGGGCGCGGCATGGAATACGCATAGACCTAGAGGGCGCGATCAGTATGCCCCGCGCATGCGCATCATCTGCAATAATGAATCACGCCTTCGTCAAAGAGGGCTAGGATATTCTGAGCATGAGATCGAAGGGCACACAGGAGACCAGCGCACCGCAGGCCTGTCAAGTGAGATATCGTCTCCCTGTGACGGGGCCACTATGGCCTGAGTATAGCACGTTGTCGTCATTGTCGACGTCGTTTGAGAGGACGTGCGCGCCTGGGGCCAGCACGTACCTCTCCGACGATGCCGTGTGCGGTGTTCCAGCAGTGCTGCGGTGGCCACCGATAGAGGTTGGAAGCGCAGCTTGCAGGCAGTGCAGTACGTGTTCGTTCTGACCACCCCGAAAGACCCTAGGCCATAGACCGCGCCCGACTGAATGCCTGCGAACAGACGTGCTAGCTGAACAGGCTCGGGAGAGAATGTTATATGAAAGCGCTCCTTCGGTTGTATCACAGCTCTTCCCGAGTAAATAATAATGGCTAGCGTGCGATGGAGCTTCGCGAGGACTAGCTCTCAAGTAACCCTGAATGATCGCGGGAGGAGGTACAACGCCTGCCATTTACTGTGCTCCCGGCCCAAGAAGTTCAAGAGATTCTTTGATACGGAGATCGACGTCCGCACGACTATTACAATACCCAGTGCCGTGCCCGGACAGGGTGAGCGGCATAGGGGCACCACCGCATTCAGGCCCGATAGTTTCGGCCGAGATCCCCAGCACGAAGGTATACCAATGCTCAGATGCTAGGAATCTAAGTACAAAGGCAATAGGGGCGACCAAGATACGTGCTGAACGTCGACAGTTTCGGCATCGTAAATGCTTGACAGGAAGGGAGGGGTGGTGTCGGGTGGCACTTCTCAACAAAACTCAGCTCTGGTGACCGCAGCTTCGACGTACGCTCTGAAGGACGTCTAGCTTGGGAACATTCGGCGATCCCGGTAATGTCTAAGGGGCCGCAATCGTTGATCTGGTATGCGACAACACGGAGGGAAGCTAGAGAGGCTCGTATGCTTGCACGGGCATATTAAATATTAAGGTTACTGTACGTTATGTACGCGAGGGGGTCAGGAAGTCCGATGAGTGTGGTCCAAGAAATTGGGAGAGCGTGTGCAGCCGCTGTGGGTGACTGGTGAATTAGTGAGCTTGACCGCCGCAGCCCGGACAGTAATCGGCGATTTGAGGAGCTGGGTTACGGTGTTCAGACCCGGAGCATTAGACGATGTACTCTGTACTCACAATACTGCTGGGGATGCTGGCGGCTTTCAGACCGGAGGGATGTTCAGAATGCTTCCTGCATTGGGAAGTCCCGATGCGACTCACTATTGCTTGCAGCTCTGCTTGCAGGTGGCCCCGTGGCAGCTCTTCGGGTGCATTGGGCTGAACCTGCAGCGCGGGTTGTCGCATTTTACCTACAGGTTACCGATGGGACGTTAGAGGATACCGCGATGCAAGGGCTTCCGTAAAAACCTCTTGGTCGGGCTGTTATATGAGGTTAAGTGACGATGTAAGAAAGAATCGTTCAATAGGTGCTCACCATGGGATAAACATGACCGCATTTCTCGTAGACGTAGCAGACTCTAATGCGAAGGTGAGTGCATTGATGTGAGTCATGGGAGAGCTAATACGCACTGGCGAAGGTAGCACATCGTACAAAGACGGTTGAGTGAGTAGGCAGGGCGAATGTGCTGAGTACTCGGATTGTGAGGTGGTGCGATGACCAGCCAGCCTCACAGCGACACGCATTTATACTTCCCGAAGGAAGGTGAGACCTCACCAGTAATTAGGGGCGGAAGGGATTGCATGACCCCGGGCATACAGACGACAAGGTGAGATGATGTTCAGTCTCTACTAGGTGAACGCAAGACGCAAGCAGGCTTCCACAGGATCATACATGTGAGAAGTCGTTTACGGGCGCAGATTACCATAGATAGATAGGGGTGGCCCAAGTGGGTGCGTGCGCTCGAGGAAGACGCAGGGAGCCCTTCCCAGGAGAAGGAGGCCTTTGGATCATCATTGCACCTTTCGATGAGCACACGAGCTCCAGAGCTTGATGTCCCACATCATCGTTAGCATATGGGATGCCGTTCACCGCCTGTTAACCCTCGAGAGCCGATAGCGCACCCGCGCAGGAGCTCCGGTCGGGGAGGGCGGGACGCTTGGTCGCGACCAGCAGGTCGGATGTTCGGAAAACCTAGATCCAGGCATCAGAATGCAGCCAATTTCCCGTAAATCGGAACAGGTTTCAGCGGTGGGGCTTGCATGGGCACTAGAGAGCTACGCTGGTGAAGACCCAACAGAAATCGCGGGAGGGAGGGGAGGAACATAGCAAAGCAACGACGGGCGCTCGGAGGACTTCCTCCTGAGTCCCGATTAGGCAGCCGCCACATGGGTGGAAAGCTGTGCAAGTACAGAGCTATGAATTACCAGTACGACTTGTCTGACCTCCGACGCCCGTGAGACATTCGTCTCCGACTTGTGAGTACAAGGATCTCCTGGATCATGGATGGCATTCCATGCTTAAAACATCCCTGAGCAGTGGCTATCGTTACGCATGGGAAAGAAGCACAAGTCCTTCGTCGAAAGTAAGGTGAGCGAGGTCCCCGGGATCCGTTCTTGCAATTTCCCGCATCATGAGGGCCTGATGCTAATCTGAACACCGACTCTCAGGATGTTGCGGTAGAACTAGCGAAAAGCGTGGCAGATGTCGAAGAACAGAAGGCCAAAAGGAAGGTTGAATTACATCACAACAAGGTAGCGTGCACGGCGGGCCTGCCGGTTCGAGTCAACAACATCATGACATGACACACTTACCTGTGCTCTTATGCGCCTAACAGGTATCTGCCCTGAAAACTCGTCCTCAAGAAAAGGGCGGGACGTCATCGAAAGCGAGATTAGTGCGCGATTGATGTCCAATCTGCGCGCCGGCTGTGATGCTTACCTCAAGTTCCTCAGGAGCGTGCAAAAGCCGCCGTTGCAGCGAAGGCC